AAACCATTTCAGGTGACTACCTCTTGAAGCTCATGGAGAGAATGCCAAGAGTGTGCAAAGCAGTAATCAGAGCAAAGGGTGGCTATTTTGAAGAAACTAGAATTTAAAACATGTTTCCAGTTATTTCACCTTTTTTTGTTAAGTACATAACTCCACATGTGTTCATTCATAGTTTTGATGCCTTCAGTGAGAATCTACAATTTAAATAGTCATGAAAATAAAGAAAACGCATTGAATGAGAAGGTGTATCCAAACTTTTGGCCTGTACTGTATATACAATATTTGTTTCATTTTTAATAGGTCAATATTACAGTACATATATTTCAATAGAAATATTTTTAAAATATTAAATTACAAATAATGATATAAATGGAATATAAATAAAAAATGTTTTATAAAATAATAAATCTGACCTAAATAGAAAATTAATGAAATGTTATTACTGATGAATTTTGTAGTTGGTTGAGTTGGAGCTATTTTAAAGTATTTTTCATACTATTTGGTAGTTTAATTCATGAAAATGCTTCAGATTATAAATCTGACTGAAATCACAGAGGAAAGCTTCAAAATATATTTTCAGATTACAATAACTGTAAAGTAAAACAGATATTAGGGCCGTGTTTGTCCCCATTACAGTCACTTTTATTGAACGTTACCTACACGTTATTTCTGTAAGCTTCTTCTGGAGTTTCCCACATTAGCTGAAACCTGCTTCAATATTGGCACCTGGCGACTTCCGTTTGATATGATGAGAATAATCTAGATTTTAGAGGAAAAATGTGGGTGGGGGAAAACACACGAGTCTGAAACTGACATGGGACAATGACTCTGAGTCATGCTCTGCTGTTGTGATGACGGTACTTCTTATTTAATCAACACCCTGTCCTGGTGCCACACAAAGAAATGCCCCCCCAAAAAACTCCACTGTTTTTTATTAAGTCTGCGTTTTTTTATTTATTTTTCCCCCCGATAATTCTACCCTGAATTCCCAAAATATTGAAATCAGTTTGTGATTTAATATTCAAACAGTTTTGTGTTATTTTATTTAATAATTTAAATAGGTCACAGCCTATGTTTGTGTAATTACACACTCTAGTCTTTGTTATTTGGTAAATAAACGATGGTATTAATTATTTAATCGTATTTTTCTCCTTTACATTACTTTTTGAAATGGCAGCCTTTGTTCTCGAGTAGTTTAATCATCATCTAAGTTTCAGTGTGTCTTTATTGGAATTCAGATAACATGATTTTTTGATCCGTTTTGAGCCACAGCAGGAGATACATCAGAAAGACCTTGTAGAGAGCGAAGAAAGTCAAGATGGGTCACTCTTCTTACTTTCTGGAGTCCCAAATTACAAACCGAGTATTACAGACGCTGATTGGTTGAAACAGTAAATCGTGGCCTGATTGGCTGGACGTGTGAGTACCATGAGAGTTAATTGGCCTCCTGTTCTGCTCATCCAGCCCGTCTCACCGCTCTCCGTGTACGTGCTCCCAACACAATACTGTCTTTGGCATAAATTACATGCGTGTAACCCGCATACACTACATTCGTGAAAAAATGGCAGCTGACGATTAGGGAGAAGTGTGTGGATCTTCACTCGGAAAAACACGGCACTTGTAAGTTTTTTCTTCAGACTAGATAATACGGAGTTTCAGGAGAACGTCAGACGAAGCTACACGACCCGGGTTATGTGTAATTCTCCTTGTTAATATGTGAGAAACTGCTCTCAGAGGGTTAACGTTAACGCTAAGGTTAGCCAACCTAGTTATTAGCCAGCAGTGGTTGTCAACATTGGGCCCAGACTATCACCTGGAAGCGAATAACGTTTGTGTTACACATTAGCTACGGCGTCCCGGGAGCTAATATGCAGTACTTAAAATAAAATCGGTTTTCAGCGCTACGTTATATATAAAGTAAATAAACGTTTTAGCTATCTCGACATTTAGCTAGCTGTTCCTAGCTAAGTTAACATTTGATGTGAGGTGACATAAGCAGCCAGCTAACAGTTAACGTTGATAGGTAGGGTTAGCTACGGGGGGGGAGGAAAAACACTGGAAAGTGGGCAAATAACGTTAATTGGGCTTCGATATCAGGGGGAAATTTTTGTTAAGTTAACATGTAAGGTATTGTGACGTTAGCTAATAACCAAATTCATAAATGTGACGTTAATACGGCCAATAAAACGGTGACGTTAGCTTCATTATAACAGTAATAACGCTGTAAAATCGCTCATGTGACCGTTAATGTTGAGTTAGCCTGTTTTTACTGTTATCAGCCACTTGACTTTGACGACACGCAGTCCTGTTTTCTTAATTTGTCACCACAAGATGTGAGACGGCTATTTATATTGTCTTCTTACCTAACTACACTCCTTTATTCTTGTTTTCTTTTGTTCTTCTTGTCTTGTTTTCAGTTTGTTGTCTTTGTCTTTGTTGTGTTTTATATATATATTTTTGTGTCCTGTTTTCCCACTTGTTTGGTGAGTGTTTGGGACCCTCTGAAGAATGAGAAGACACATCTCAAGGGGTTTATCCTGACATAATTAATTTTTCACACCCTAACTCAGTGAAGCTAATTCATCAGTGTCTCCTTTATGAAGTTTGAAGGTGACATGCTGGGGGAAAGTGCACACTGCCTTCACAAAATCAAACACAGTGTCTGTCACATGGGTTGTCCCAGTACACCACAGGCCCGTCATTACAGTGATGAACTTGAAAAAACCCACCCTGTCCCAGGCTTCCTGTCTCTGTGGGAGTGTTCATTACTGAAATACCTCACGTCTGTGCATGACAGAAGTTCTGATTTATTTTATTTACAGAAAAAAAAAGTCAAATTTCCCTTTGCTAACAACAGCACCATGTAATTTTCCCCCTTGTGTTCCCTGCAGGAGGTTATTTTCAGTGATACTTCTCTTTTTGCTTCCAGACTAAATCAAATTATAGTTTGATTCAACACCACTATTGTTGGGTATTGTCAGATTATAAAGCAATTTAAAGGCATCATCTTTAGCCCCTAAAAATTACATGATTTACTGCTGTTTTTATTAAATATTTAATTTACAAAGTGATAATAATTGAGAGATGAATTGTGAAAACAATCAATAGTTGCAGTCCTAGTATGTACTGTAACTAGGGATGTTCCCAGTGACTAATTTCACTGATGTTTCAACAGAAGTTTAAACCTTGACAGGTCGGCTAGTCTAAATGTAAGACTCAGAAAACAGACAAAATGTAATCTCTAAGGTTAAACATTGTCCCAAAATATGTTGCGAAAATGATAAGAGTCATTTAAAACTGTTAATCACATTTTTAAGTAACCAAATTGTATTTTAAATGCCAGTGAAATATGTCTAACTTTGCACTATGCATTATGAATATTGCACATCACATGACAACAACTCATAAAAGTTAAATATGGAAAACAATATTCTTTAGGAAAATAAATCCTAAGGAAACATGCCTGATTATTACAACAGCATTTTCACTGGGTGAATACATGAAATAGCAACAATTTAAAAAATAAGTTTAACCTACTCATATTTTTTGGTGCCACTACATAGGGCAGCAACATCTAATCATCTACTCGACTAATCACTCACATCCCGAACTCTAACTGCTTGAAACATAGCTCAGCCTGTTGATTCCCATTATACGGTTATGAGGATGGTACACTGACTATTTTAAAAGGCAGCCAGCTGGTGTCTGCGTGTTTCACTGCAAGCAGCTGCACTAATGTACAAACAGTGCTGATTTCTACCCAATTCCTCAAATGTCACATGCATCGAACATCAACACTTGTATTTGTTGTCAGGCTTGTGAATGATGTTGTAATTTTGATGCACCTGATATGAATGAACTAATGCTTGGAACTGTGTGTGCTGCGTTTCATATTAAATACTTTCTCCTATTTGTATTTTTAGAACAAAACTACACCGGCACAGAAGCATACCTGGTCACCATTGGTCGTTGTCGTGGAAGTGTCACCATTGGTCATCAGTCACCATGGGAAAAACTCCGCTAAAAGGTAAGGAAACTTCATTTGAACTTGTTTGATAAAGACTGTGTCCATGACTTTGAAAGTTGCTTTTTTCTTGAGAAGTGCTCTAATCAGGCGCATTAAGTGGAAACACCTGTGTGGGTACACAATGGGACTGTAGGGGCTTTGTGATGTGACAGCATACAGCTTCATTTGTGTCATAATGACTGCAGGTTACTGAAAGTGTTTCAGAGCTGTTAATAAGATATTTTTTTGTGTCATCGGCTGTGATGACTCTCTCAATGCTTCAGAACAGTATTTCACAAATGGGTGCACATTTTAGTATTTTATTCAAATTTGACATTAACTCCCTCAGAAATCCATATTTAGCACAAGTTTTCAAGCTATTATTCCTGGCTTGTATTAAAGTACGCTTGAGAAAAGTTATTACAAGGAAATTATCTTTTTTTTTTCACATGAGAAAATGTTCAAAAATTGTTGGACAAAGTTCGAAACAGGAGCTTGACCTACCGGACATGATAAGATCTTTGGGAAGAGGGAGTTACACAGATAAATCCCTTATCTGCATGTTACTTTTATTGTTCTTTATTTCTGTCCATTTAAATAAAAATTCTTGTCGTTTTTAGATCAGAAAGACAGCAAAAAAGAGAAACCAGGAAGAATGGTTCCACTAACAGGTACACCCCCTACAACAACTAAAGGTGAACTTTTTATTTGATACTCTGTGGTGGTGTTTGCCTTGATCTGTGAACGCAAGAAGAGCTGTGTTAAGTGTTAAAGTTGTTGTAGGAGCCCTGTAGTTATTTTACGGTGTTACATTAACTTTTTTAAATTACATGCCTTTGTTGTAGAGAACCTAATTCACTCTTTCAGTGTATACTTCACATATTACTAGCTTTGGCACTAGGGGTGTTGCGATATAGCGGTATTATCGTGATACTTAAAAATGAAATATGGAATCATGTTATTAATACAGGTATGATTAATAATTCAGCCCCTCTTAAATCATTTGCATGTCTTTCCATTCTCTTTTTGTCTGATATTTGATATTATGCCAACCCGATTTAGCACAAAAACAGACTTTCTAAAAAGTTCAGACATGTTATTGAGATCTATCCTCATCCTGAGCTATGAGAGAACCAGCTGCAGATATTGGACCAGAAATGGACTTGGAAAGGGACAAGAACTTTGGTTCACTCTAATAGTATAACCTCCAAATTCAGGTCATAGCTAACAGGTGATATTGTGATGTTTTGCTCAAGCATTTACTGGGTTCTTTTATCTGTAAGCTTTTGTAAATAGTTTGAAATAGGTTGCATTTAACAGCATTTGTTGCAGTCAAAATATTCTCTTATTTTGTTCAGATGCTTTCAGCTGGGACGACTATCTGAAAGAAACGTCTTCTACACCGGCTCCACCGGGATGTTTTCGTCAGGTACGTCCTCCTGGATTTCTAAACTGTTTTATATTTATCATGGCCAGTTGCATGAAGACAAACCTAATCTTAGACTTAAATTTAAATTTAAGTAAATTTTAAATAACTGGGTAAAAATTTGCATAACTGTAGACTTGGATAAAACTATCGTTTAAACAAATCAAAATACCAGTACCGTTAAAGTGAGACAGATATGAACAGAGCACTTCATTTGATAGCCTGTTCTTTCTCCTCATTCGATACCCATCATGTCAATGGAAGCATTCAGTCGTATAAAATGTCACCAGATGCCACAGGCATGTAACATTGCCATACATCACAGATTTATGGGTTGTAGCTGCTGCGGTTGTGGAACAGTCCCACGTTACATTAAATTGAGGAATGTTTGCTGTGATTGGCTGAGAGCGAAACCATACAAATAGTTGTTTTTCCCTAGATCTGGGTACAAACGGATCTGACGCAGGCATCATTTGACTTATTACTTGGTACTGGGTTATTTTATCTCTCTGTTTGTTTTTCTTCTGAAAGGTCTGCTTTGCACAGCCAGATTTATAGTCCAAACTGAAACTGGTTGTTCTGTCATCACTGTTGACAAATCTGAGAAGCTTTAAGTTGACAGCTTAAAGTCTGTCCTGTAAGACTTTACTGGGGCAACAACGGTTCTGTAAAGCCCAGCTCAGACCACAGATTCACAATGAGACAACTTGAAATAGGCAACTTCTTGCAATGCGCCGTTCAGCAACGTTCTAAAAACCTGCCGATTCACACCAATGCAACTAGATGAGATGGTGTATCATCTCTATGCAACAACTCTCTGTAATTCTGTTCTGATTTGCAGCTTTTCAGGGTGATTTTGTGGCTGAATATAGTGTGTAGCTGCTGATTTGACCATCTGAGTTGCAGGTGACACCATCAGCCGGCTTGAGTCGAGCTCAGACTGGCTAGTTCACACTGCTGCAACTTTTCTCTGCCACGTTCTACAACGGTTTAGTCTCGTAGTACATCATTTGTCTGAACTGGGCTTAAAATGCTGCCAAAACTGGTTTTGTCCATCACTCAAATGTTTTATATTTACAACTTTGAATGCAACACTGCCCTCACAAGAGTATACCACCACAAAGAGGCATATAACTTATTTCTCCTGCACAGTTTTCATAACATTTAACTGAATGCTCTCACACATAGTAAACAGACTGATGACATTATCTAAACCAGGCTGGAGCAGTGAGTTGATTAAATAATGATTTGTGTGCAGTGTACTTGAGCAGTGTTTACAGTATCGGCACTTTCATTTCCCCAATGTGTGCAGGCTCGAGTCCCACCCTCCAATGACTTCAAAGTGGGAATGAAGCTTGAAGCGCACGATCCACGTAACTCCACCTCAGTTTGTATCGCAACCGTGATGGGTTTAACCGGAGTTCGTCTGCGTCTCCGTCTGGATGGAAGTGACAACAGCAACGACTTCTGGAGGCTGGTAGACTCCTCTGATATCCAGCCAATTGGCACCTGTGAGAAGAATGGAGACATGCTGCAGCCACCACTGGGTAAGACAGTCGGGACAGATGGGAGAGAAGCACGTTGTTGTTGTTCATTACAATCATTTCAAGACAGTTAAGGAAAAAGTCTTAATCTAGCTTTGCTCTTGTGTGATGAAGTGCCAGAACTTGTGCGACAAGTAAGAAAAAATGGTAGACTCGAAACTGAAATTAAAATAATTGTTAGACGATGCTGTAGAAAATGTTTCTCAGTCTGATGTGGAAGTGAAAGGGAGTTTCCCTACAGACATCAGTTATTATGATGATTTTTATTCGGATTCTTTGAAAGAACCTGAAGGTAACAAAGTTTAGAAATGTTTTGTTCATGTTGTTGTAATACATCTTGAACATAAAGTTGTATGTAGGTATAGATGTGTACAGAAATACTAATACTTCACCCGCGAAATGACTGTTTCATGAAGAAAACTGTTTTTCTCATGTCTCTACGGAGAACGAAGAATCCAAAAACTGAGAAAATTCTTGATGAGCTAAATCTAAACATTTGTTTACAAACTCTCACACAACTCGTTCACAGTATAATCCAAGTCTCATTTATCCAGCTGTATGACCAGATGTTTTGATGTAGTTTTACTGGTGTTAAATGTGGACCCCTATGACTTCAATTCAAGAATTTTCTCCATTATTGGATTATTTGTTCACCGTAGAGGCACGCAAGAAAAACAGTTTTCTCCATGAATTCAACATAACACAGGGTAAGAATGATCTACATATGGTCATTTGGAGTACATGGTATTCCTTTAAACTGTCTCACAGCTGAAATTCATTCGATTTGACTTTGGTAGAGTTAATAGAAATCTGAAAAGTAGGGGTGTAACGGTACACAAAAATCTTGGTTCGGTATGTAACTCGGTACACAAGTCACGGTTCGTTTTTTTTTTTCTTTTTTCGGTACAGTAATGAAAAAAATAGACAACTATTAAATATCTTTTACTTATTGGTAACCTTATTAAAACATACCACCACAGCAGTTAACTCTTTTTACACAATTTTTGAATGAAACAAATATATATAAAATCCTGCTTTTTCACATTGTTTGAATGAAAATAGAAATATAAAAGTGAAAAATAAAATCCTGCTGTTTTTTTAACACATTTTTTGAATGAAAAATATAAATATACATTTCTGCTTTAACAGTTTTACTCAATTAAAATAAAAAGTATAGTGCAGCTGGTCAGCTTTAAAGCCTGCTCAGATTCAGTTTTACTAGGAACTTACTTAGCTTTCCCACTTTGTTAAAGTGCAGTAAACAAAACATGCTTATATCTAAAGTGCAGCTTAAACAATTTTACTCAACTCCAATGGCGTTGGTTATTTCTTTAGCGCGATGGTCAGGGAAACGCTCTCTTTTTAAACGACGACGATATCGTAGTTTGCACCAGATTGCTTTTTCTAGTCGTGCCGGTTAACGTTCAAACTCGGGTGATGTCGCTTTAGATGCGTTAGCATGTTAGATGTGTTTCCAAGTACATACCCGACCGCTGTTCTGCAGTGTCAGCACACTGCTTTTGTCTTGTCAACTTGTTTATTTCCATCTTTGTATTTTACCCTGAAACCAAAGTGTTCCCAAACGGAGGACTTAAGGTTTGCGGGTGGGTCTTCAGGTTCGTCAGGCTCACTTGCCATGTTGTCAAAATGCGAGAATGCGCTGCACAAAGTGAAAGCGGAGATTTACGGTCGGACTCGGTCCGTCACTCAATTATGTCCGTCGGGAAACTAGATATTTTAAATGGTTCGGCTCGCAAAAATGGAATTAAAATAAAACAAAATAAAATAAAATAATATCCTGCGCCCAATAATTCGGTACAGGGTCGTGCCGAACCGAAAGTCGCGTACCGAACGGTTCGACACAAATACATGTACCATTATGGCCCTACTGAAAAGTTAAAGATAATGACAAAAGATAGTGGTCACTAGGTCAAGAAAAACACCTTGCAGGTTTCTGGACTGGTATCCAAGGCTGGCTGGGGCCTCTCAACATTTCTTATGAACTAACACCTTTATATATTTCATTAGGCGTCCTGGATGAAAACTGTCCCCAGCTAATAAATATAATGATTCTGTTGGGTCAAATATTTTTATTTGAAGCTCAATCAAGAAAAAAAATGAATTTAAGTTTCCTGAAAAATACAGTACAATGTCGATTTGTTATGGCAAAAATTATTGCTATAAACCATTGTAAAGTTGCACAACATGACATGAAATGGGAGAAAATTTCCTCCAGTGAAAAGTAGAACTATAAAGAGTTATAATTACACTCTACTTGTCACATAAATATAATTTATTTATTTGTTTTGTTTTTTTGCTAGTACTAATGACTTAATCATTTGAATTACTGATTTGATCCCACTAACTTTTATATGTCTTTTCTTTTATCCACTTTGGTCTGTATAAGTCTAACTTTTGTGAGAATAACACCTGAAAGAAAAGGATAGCAACACAAGCACAAGGTGTGTGAATAAGGTATGAATTCTCTTATTTGACATTTGTTTCTAATATTCAAATTCCCCCCTCAGGATTTCGGATGAACGCCTCCTCATGGCCCATGTTTCTGTTGAGAACCCTAAATGGAGCCGAGATGGCGCCGAGCACAGCCTTTAAAAAGGTTTGTGTTGCTTCAAAAGGCTTTCAAAACATTTGCCACACAAAAAGTATCCCGCCATCTTATTGGTTTGCATTTTTAATGAGAATGTTGAACATTTTCAGGAGCCTCCTCGGCCCTCCCAGAACAACTTTAAGCCAGGCATGAAGCTGGAGGCTGTGGACAAGAAGAACCCTTACCTCATCTGCCCTGCCACCATCGGGGAAGTGAAGGGCGATGAGGTCTTCATCATGTTCGACGGGTGGCGGGGTGCCTTTGATTACTGGTGCAAGTTTGACTCCCGGGACATCTTCCCTGTGGGCTGGTGCTCCCTCACTAAGCACAGCCTCCAGCCACCAGGCAACAGTGGTAAGTGTCGCCCTCTAGGTGGCAGCAAGTCTGCACACAAAATGAGACATGAAGCAGATGCTGTTGTTTGTGATCAATATTTCCTTTATGCGCATGTAAATGCGGTGTTTCCCCCCCACAGTTGGTAAATGACACCCACAGCCAGAATAATATAAACACAGTTATCATGAATCATCTGGTCTTGTTTCTTAGTCTGGCAGCGTTAAATATACACAGTCTAATCTTTAGCAGGTGCTGGACACACAGGAAAAGAAAGCTTGAACTCTGCCTCATTATCTACGTGCGATCTAATAACACCATACTTACACATCTGCCAGAGGAGGTCTAATAGCTTTGCAATCATGTGACTATTATGACGCACAAAATTCAGACGGAGGGCAGGAAGTAATAAATCCATACACTGTGTGAACTGGATATAGAGACACGTGAGTACAGAAAAGGGTTGGACGAACCTGCAGATAGCAGGTATCGTCAGAGCTTGTAAACTTTTGTTGGAATTGATCCATACAAAGTTAAGAGAAGTAATTTTTCCCACAACTTGACTGATTTGTGGACCTGAACGTTGTTACAAATGACCTCATCCTCCAGACCTTCTAACACGACTAACGTTACACGGTGAGCTGATGAAACCGTACACGAGTTCAGTGAACTGTAACTATTTTGTGTGTGGTTGGATCCAAGACTGAAACGACTAATGTCTTAGTTTGGCCAGCTGAGTAAATATGTTTGAGAAAACTGTCTTTTATATGTCAGCTCTGTGCGTGGATGCACCGCTGCCAGGCCAATGTTACAAGCTAACTTTAGCTGCTATTTTCTACCTGCTAGGCCAGCCATTCACATTATCAAAAATCTGGGTTATTGTCACAGCATGTAGTAATTGACCTTTTGCTAAGCCTCGCCCTTTTGTGATGGTCCGACAAGCTGTCGCAGTAAGCATGGAGCCCACACTGTAACTAACCGCACTGCAACTCATATTTTTGGAGAAATAAAACAGTGATTCCAGAGAGAAGCAGACAGAGGGGTCTACAGTCTGTGTTTGAAGGATATATCCAGGATGTCAAACTGACTCAGCAGCAACAACAGGTTAAAAAGACAAAGATAGTTAGAAGCTAAAGCCGAACTATAGGCTACAGATCACAGTGTAAAAGTGAACCACCTCATCACTGCTGATCGCCACACAAGACAATGAATATAAAGGGAAACTTTGCTGATATTGAACCAGCTGTGTGGCATCAAAGTGTGTGCAGATGGACGGTGTTTGGCTTCACCCCTGTGCTGCTGCCAGCACCTGGACCTCCGCTGCCACAGGGAGGTCGGAGGAAGTCAAACAACGTTCATCTGTGCACACTGCGATGACACACAGCTGGTTCAATATCAGCAAAGTTTCCCTGCTTCCCTTCACTGGTTCCTGTACAGCAGGGTCTGTCTTTTTTTCATTTTTATAATCATTAAAAAGCAAAAGCAGCATGTGTATACATTCAGTAGGCTTTATCTTCAGTAGCTAGCTAGCTAACCCTACACTTTTCAGGGTTTGTTCCAAATCCACAAAACCAGCCTGAAAATAAAGGAAATCTGAAATGATGGAGCACAGCTGTGTTGTTGTCGGACCCTAGTCTAATGCTACGTTATGATTGGCCAGTCTGTGTGTGGGGGCGGGACTTAGCGAAGGGTCAATTGCATCCAACATGAGGCATGTTAAACACAATGCTTTAATGTTAATGTTTTACATCAGTTGACTCTGCTCCTCCAGACTGAAGACGGAGGTTTTTGATCCACATCTGCCACTGTTACTCAGTGAGGTTTTTTTTTTAATTTCTCCCCTTAATGTCCTACTATTTTCGGGAGGTAAATTGGCCTGTTTTTTCCCAATTTTAGCAATTGGAACAGCCGTCGACAGCATAAATCATAGACCATGTGCAGTGCTGGTAGTCTTTGCCTCCAGTTGTCTGCTCTCCATCTGGACAGCGCACTGATGTATGACGTCATATGCAAAGAAGCAATGGAAATGTTTCTGAATCTGAAGGGCATAAACACAGATTTACAGTGAATGAATAATGATGTGGTCGGGGTTTCAGAGACTGTACAGAGGGTTGTGACGATTCTGCAGCTGTGTTGGTAGTTGTTCAAGTGACAGCATCTTTACATTTTAACTACACTTTCAGTAAACTTTTAATGATGCTGTATTAAAATTAACATTTGTCGTTGAATCAAAAAAAATCAGTCGAGCCCAGCCTTCCTCAGAAACTGTCCTGGTTGAGTAAAACTTTTCTAAGCTCTTTTCCATGTTGTGTATTTTCACACACAACATGGGTTTCCTTTCTCCAGTGCTCTTGAGTTCCCACAGTGGCTGCACTTTAAAGAAAGTTTGGTTGCTTAGTAACAAGTTAAATGTGGTGCCTTAATCATGGTCCTCTTGATAAACTGGGGCTACATTCAAAAGCGGGAGTGTCACCAGCACTGAGCCAGCAGTCGCAGGAGACGCACTGTGTATTGCATGTGAAACTCTGCAGATAGACTGTGGAGTCCTGTCAGTGTGTTTGTGTCTCACGGTGTTTCAGTGGGGCTTGGGTGGGGAGGTCGAAACAGGCAGAATAACAAGTTAGAGGAGAGAGATTAAGGAGGGGGATTGATGTTCTCTGCATCATACCTGTTTACATGGAAAAATGTGTTTACACAAAAGCTGCTCAGTCAAGTCTCGGACTTTTGCTCAGCCATGTTTGTGTGAAGACTGGATGGAGATTATGAACGACAAAACACACGAGAAACTTACAAACAGCTGTGAGAGTAACAGTAAACATGGGTCACGGTTTGTTGCAAGTTTGATACAGCTGAAAAACAAATGCATAGGCATATGTTCCTTTTCATTATTTTGTACAGACAACAGTGCAAGTATCAAAAACAGACAAATTAATCTTGCCAGAGACTGAGGTAACATGATCTAACTTGATCTAACAATGATAACTTGATCACTGGCAACTTTGGTAAACTATTTTCATTCTAAAAATAAGGAACATTTGAAACACTTCTGAATTACCCTGAACAAACACTTTTCCAAAAGGCAACAGGTCACATTTATCATCCTAGTAGGGGTGTAACAATAAACGTATTTGTACTGAACCGTTCGGTACAAGGCTGTAATTACGGTACACTTTACAAATTGAACAATATGTTGAACTATCCCATTAGATTTGACAAATAAAATATATAGTTTAAATTGTGTTAAATATGATGTTCTCAGTGTCATTGCGCTCAAGAAGGCAGCCTACAGGATGTAACAGGCAACATGCTGTCTGCTCTCCCACCTACATATCAAACCATTCAACACCAGTGAGACACACTGGGATGCTACGCTAAGCAAGCTTGTTGTTCAGTGGTTAGTATCGCCATTACCAGAGCAGAAATAACCCCGACAACCTACAGGTCCCGTGTTTGGAGCCACTTAGGTTTTGCTGTGAATTATGAGGACGATGGTGAGAGAGTGGTGGATAAAAAAACAGCGGTATGTTGCATCTGCTAAATGACGTTAGGTTACATCAGTCAGATGTGTCATCTCATTTACACCGACGTCACCCCCAATGTGGAACTAGACAAAAACAAGAAGCAACAAAAGCTACAACATAACCATTTCAGCCATACCATAATTCCTGCTTTGTACAAAAAACCAAAAGCCTAAATTATGTTAGTTTTATTACATTTAAAATGTGAAAAAACAAGGACATTTCTCTGGCATTTCAGAAACAGGTGTGTTTCCTTTGTTTGTGTCTGCGAATAACTACACAACTCTACATTTTATATTTTATAAAGACCTGTTTTTATTTTATATGCTGCCATAGTGTGACTGACTCTCGTGCCACTCAACTTGTTGTACTAACCTCAGGGCATGTTGCTAACTGCACATGGCTAAATGTGTCCAGACAAAACCTGTGCTTGTGAACCTCAAGTTCCACACGCAGCAATTTACATACCATGTATTCTGCATGACCTCCATACCATGACAGTTCAGTATGAATACACGAACATGACAAGTCTACAAAAGGCTGCTGTTTTTTCAATGTACTTGTACCTGCTCATGTAAGGTTCAGCAGGGATATGAAAAGAACACACACTCTTTGCCTACCACCCCTGTCTCTCTACTCCCCCGCCATCTAATCCTGATCGGTCTGCCTTCTCTGACTCCTCCGTCAGTGTGGGCTTTGTTTTGAGCTTATGCTGCGCTTTAGAGGTCAATTTAATATTTGATTCTCTGAGCGTGGAAACTGTCAGGGAATCAGTACATACAGAAACACAAAAATATTTACTACCTGAGTAAATGTTGCTGTTGCTTTGTGTGGGTATGTTTTGGCACAAATGTTTTCCCTTTCAGCACGTCAGTGTGAGTTACGCTTTTACTCTGTCTCTGCTCTCGGGCATAGGCACTGCTGTTATATATAGAGACACTCCGCATTCACAGTACACACATTTGTAATAAAAAGCTGAAACGGAAACGGTGATTCCTCTTAAGTCTGGGGATGTTATGTGCGTTGAAGACTTGTCTTTGATACTGTTCTGTATGATTTATGTAGTTTGATATGTCTTTGCTGCAGATGTGTGATATATTAATCTTTGAAATTCTATACATTTACAAAGCTAAATTTTGTGTATAAAGGAGGAAAATGATAAATATGGCACATTATTTATTTTGCTAGCCCATCAGCTAGCCTATAAAATTTCCAGAATAGTTTTCTAGAATGTTAATTAGCCAGCAGAAAATGCATTGGATATCTTTATAAGTGTTGTTGTCATTCTTTACAAATTAGGGACAGGATTATATGAAGCCATAGCAATAACCAGTGCAATAGGCTTTGCTACTAATTAGCTGGTGTTATAATATGGATTAATACTACTTATGAAGTTAATAACCATCAGATAAATGCATAGTCATGCCAGATATTAGACTAATTGGATGAGTATAACATGAATTGGAGCACTTCCCCTGTTATTTCCAGTAATGTCATGCCCCTGTCCAAACCCAGATTGGCACCAGAGCGTCCCCCCACGCAGCCAACAGCAGCACAGTGATTGCGCTGTGGTGGTCACTGGGTCAAGAGACAAAATTTGTCTCTGTAATTAGCCAGGAGAGACTCTACAATGAAGCTGCAAACCATTCTTCATTATAATCTTCTCTCTTGTGACATGTCTTCGTAGTCCGTCCAAAATCTGTGGAGCCAACAGGCCACCGTAAATGTAGTAACAAAACTACATTTCTTTCTCTTTCTATATCATGTTAGGTTTACCTAGTAGTGTTTGGTCATACACCAAGTGCACACCAACTATACTACTTGCCCACTGCCCACACCGCTGTTGCTTTTTTTAAATAAAAGAACTTTAACCCATTAAGTCAATTGTTGCATATCATCACCCACTGTCATTTGTACAGTTTGTACAATACTAAGCATATTATCAATACTTTGTCAAAGGATGGACGCTACAGCTATAAACTGAAGTGCTTGTTGTAAAGAGTAGCAGGGGTCAGATTTCACCTCTCTTGACAGATAAGACAGTGTTGGAATATTTGGTGTCAGTAAAAAGCAAAAGTGCCTGTTGTGTTTTTTGTTAAAGATAATAACCTAATTTTCTCAGCATTCGTTTTGTTCACAGTGAGGGTAAAATCTAAAGAGATCTAAAGATCTAATGTTAACAGTGAGAATACTGTTGTAAAATTTCTGGTAAAATCGGAAACACTGATTTCATCACAAGTTAACTAGCCGCTGGCGTCACTGTGGCATCCTCAATTAACCTGTGACTCAAACCTGTCATATTCAGTACTCACACATTCAACCAGGTACTTATATTACTCTCTACTGTGTTTCCTTGAACTCTGTGCAACTATAGTTTCCACTCATGTAGCATCTCCATTAGCTGTCTGTACCTGCAGCAGACTCTGTACACAAAGATTGTTTTTGCCTTCTAGTGTGGTAACTCAGTTTCTATTATCATCTCCCTCCATATCAACTGCTCTGTTTCATGTTTTCATTACAGTTACCCTTCCAAAGAACCTGCAGATTCTCCCTGCGTCTCCCTCCAAGCCCAGCAGGCGCTCCATGCAGTCCCCGTACAGACTACCCAACCCTCTGCCCCCTTTGCCTGTCAGGAAGGGGGTAAGAGGTCGTCGGCCCAAGAGTGAGACCATCGCTCTGCTCAAAGCCGTAGCAGAAGCAGCTGCTGCCCAAAACGGAACAGTACCTGAGAACACACAGCTCGTACCCCGGCCCCACAAGAAGAGAGGCCCCAAGCCTGGAAGCAAGGTGAGACCCTGCTGAACACAGTTAGACTGAGATATTTAAACATCAGGGGAAGACTTTTTACTGCCACATTCCTCACGTTTAAGTGCGTCTGTAAATTAATGTGTATTTTTTCAGAGGAAGTCCAAGATTCTCCAAAACCCAGCACAGTTACCCAGCATCCAGGTTCCACAGGAGAGCCCTCCCAGCCTCAACTCTGTGGTTTCAACAGGTACGGATTAATGTTCGTTAGCTTCCTATAATTAGCTATTGAATGAAAGCTATCATTAGAACGTCTCATTTGCTCACTGTGTGTCTTGTGTTGTTCCAGTGTGTGTCTATGTGAACAAGCATGGAAACTGTGGTCCCCACCTGGACAGGAAGCAGATGCAGCATCTGCCAGACCACTTTGGCCCGGGGCCAGTGAACGCTGTGCTCCAGCAGGTGGTCCAGTCATGTATAGATTGTGCATACCAGCCTAAAGTCCTGCTCAGTGCTTTGCAGACTCACTCAGGAGGAGGGGAGGTGGTCAGAGGTAGACACACACAGACAACTTGACAACTTGAAATAATAACTGAAGTAGTAGAACGATTGGTATATTAGATGGCTGCACAAGCAGGCGGACTTTTTTTGTGACAGAAAGACCAATAAATCATGTTGTCCTTCATCCCAGTGAGAACAGATGGTGGAGTTCGTGTGGTCAAACTACCGTCAGCCTCCAGTGCTTCCTTTGTGCTGCGGTTCTTGGAGACGATGTGTCGTCACCTGCAATGTGACAACCTGTTCAGCAGCCAGCCGTTCAGCCACTACACTGCTTATGACAGGACCAAGTCCGGTAAACAATGCATTCAGGGAACATCACTTCCTCTGTCGGGGAAAACCTCGTCAGATCATAGTTCTTAAGAGAAACAAAAACTGAGACAAAAACAGGCGGTAACTTTGTCAATTGTTAGTCATACAGTCCGTCTTTGTTTGTGTGTTACAGTGAAAGAGGAGGCATTGGACGCTCCATCTCTGGCTCGGGGGAGTAAACGGAGTCTCTCTGGAGTCTCCCCACCGTATGCAGCCCCTCTGTCACCTAAACATTTACGTACAGAAGCTCACCCTTCAGAAGGTACAGCTCAATTTGCAGATGTTTTAAACCTGTAACATTCTTTATACTGATAGCATACTATAGCAGACTTTCATGACCACCGTAAGTACGTTCCTACGCATGAAGGCAAAGCAGCGGAAACCACCACTAAATTTTTTTCTTCCTGAACTTAAATGTTGTCTCCAGCCTTTTTTACACAGCAATTCCGTGATACTGCCATAACAACCCCTCATTACGGCACCTTTTCTTTTTTACAACATTACGAAAGCAAAACAGGCGTGTCTGGTGTGACATTCAACTCAGCTCTGTCGACATCTAGTGTGACATAACATACACATCAGGCAGCGCTTCCTACACAATAACATGCCAATGACAATCATTTACCATCTCTGTTATGGCAGTTGATCTTTTCCTCTGCTAGGAGGTTAGCAGCTTCTTTTCAGGTTGTCTGTCCATCCAGCCTATCCTTGTGAAGGCAAAATGTGTTTGAGGCATCTATGTTTTCACAGACATGGATGTAAACTGTAAGAGAAACTTGACTGGTGCATGGAGGCATGCAACTAGATGCCTCCGTAATTCTAGTTGATTGCTGTTCTTCTTTGAGTTAGCTGCTAACTGCTGCTACCCACTTTCTAAATCTCCTTGTGGTGGGTCGCACACATAACGTCCTCAAAACGTCACACCTGTTTTGTCCTGGTGGCTCACACTTTTTACACAGACGTAGATTCGGAGTTGTTACTACCTTTGCTGCTGACTTAAAGGCAAGACAACAATGCCGTTGGTATCTTTTATACAGAACACCAAGGTGGAAAAACGGCGCAACATTCCTCCCTTGAGCAGGCAGTGTAAAAGAGGCTTATGTTAATGTTTTTTTCAGGGCCACATTCACTGACAGTGTGTTATAGAAGCTTTAAAGAATGACACTTGAATGTCAGTTGTGTTTTTCTCTCTCCAGCAGAGACTCTGCCCCATGAAGAGAATGGCCTAATAAAGGAGCAGCGCTACATGGACTCAGCCTCCAACTCCATGAACCCTCGACCCCAAACAGTGCGCAGTACCTCTGAGTACCACTCTCAGGCCAGCAGCCTCTACCATCCCGGCAACGGTACAGCCATGCGCCGCCACTCCTCCAACCCCGCAGAGCTCAGCTCCTCACAGCCTCTCAGACGAGTAGAAGGTACAGTAACAATCTGTGGAGGTGCACATTTGTAAATGCTCACTTCTGCTGCCTCACATGCTCAGTGTGTCTTTTCTGCTTTGGTAGCAGCCAGCTCCACCACAGGGCCTGAAGCACTGGGGTCTGAGCGGGAGAGTCAGCAGCTGCCCAGTAAAAACCCCTCCTCCTGGTCCATTGAAGAGGTGATGCAGTTTGTGAGGGATGCTGACCCCACAGCGTTAGCTCCACATGCTGAACTGTTTAGAAAACATGTAAGTTCACTTTAACTATTAAAAAAAATGGAACAGTACCATGCTGCTCTTTGTGTCGAAGGTTCAGGCTCCAGGATTTAGGGGATATATTGACCAAAATGGAATATAATAAAAGTATGTTTTCTTAATGTGTCATCGCCTGAAAATAATAATTGTTGTGCTTTCGTTATGAATGAGCCATTTATAACTGCAAAGGGAGCGGGTCCTCATCCACGGAGATCACCGTGTTGCTCCGCTGTGTTTCAGTAGTCCAGAATGGATAAACCAAACTGTGGCTCTGTATTTAGCAGCCCCTCTGCGATTAGAGCACTGGAAAAATATTTTTAAGTGAAACTGATTTATTCAGTGTTTTTACTGGAAACAGTCACCAGGTCCGATTGTTGTGTGGTTAATTCAGCTCCGATAAAAAACTCCTGAACGTCTGGATCTTAAGATATCAGAGAAAAAAGGTGGGCACACATTAGCAAGTGCTAGGCTAGCGGCCCGTCTCCAACATGCCGAACAGTGTCGCAAAAACACTGATTTTTACAGTAAAGCTGTTTTATTCAATGTTTTTACCAGTTTAAATCAGTCTGTTTGTTTTGAGGAGGAAGAGACCTCTGTGGATAATTAAGCTTATGGTAAAAATCACTAAAACAATCAACACTAAAAGGAATTCTAACCACCAGAAGTAACAGCTAGTTGCAGTCTACAATTCTTGCCACTAGATGCCACTAAATCCCCTGAATCTTACACACTGTTCCTTTAAGCTAAAAAGGATATAGAATATAATGAGTCCCATTCTCTGCTTCCACAGGAGATCGATGGAAAAGCTCTGATGCTGCTACGGAGCGACATGATCATGAAGTACATGGGTCTGAAACTGGGTCCTGCACTGAAGTTATGCCATCACATAGAGAGGCTGAAACAAGGCAAAGTGTAAGAGGAGCCAGGGAAGCCCTGTCCCTGCCAGACCCATGAGCAATAAGCCCTGAAGGAGCCAGCGCATGGACACTGACTCATGGGGCATGCAGGGGCTACATGTTACTCTAGACTCCACCTCGAGGGACTGAACTGATGTTACAACTTCACCCCGATTTCCAGAGTGGAGAAAGTGTGCCGTGCATTGCTGACACATTACCTCATCCTCTCATCAGTGAACAAAAAGCTGTTCAAGTCTAGCAAGACGCCATTTGACTTTATGAAATCCCAAAGGAAAAGAATCCCTGTAGTGTTTACATTGCATAGCACACGTGCACACGTGGACACGTTTTTTTACGGAGATGAAATCTTTTGATCCTGGTTTTGGATCCCCAAAGATGGAGAATGTTTCTTCTTATATAATGTTTTTATTCTTGTTGAATTTCCAGTTAATAAGGAAGGGTTGGTATACTGAAAAATCCATCAGATGTTCTTCCCCATGCTCAACGAGAGAATTTGGATGCTCTCTCGTCTGTGCTGTTGTATAGCCGTTCACACTTTTCACATGTATGCCTCAAGTATGGGTATATCCGCCTGCCTGAAGAATGCTAGTGTCAGTGCATTCCATTTTGTTCACACAATGCTCGACAGACATTTTTCTTTGCTTGAACGTTGTCAGTATCATGTAGGGATCATATTGTATTCTGACAGTTGTGATCACCTTTTCCACGAGCGTTCTGCAGGATCATCAGCTGCTTTGTGGCATGACGTACTTTTGTGTCTTAGCGAGCCCTACGCTGCCTCTCACTGGTCTCCCTGCAGTTCTAATCAAAACCATTTGTATCCCAAGCTCTGAGCCAGCTTAGAAGTTCTGGGTTTATCAATTTCAATAGACACATTGTTAAGGAAGACATTTCTAAGGGCTTTTTTGTTTAGTTTTGACGTAATGTTTTTATCAGTCATAATCTTGTTAAGCTCGTTGGTCCGCCTGCGGCCTCAGTGTTGTCACTTTTGACCGTTACAATCACTGTTAGCAATGAAAACAGATATGTACAGTTTTATGGGTTTAACCATGAATATCAGCGACAGAATGTACATTTTGTAGAAACGTAATATTTTAAGTAAATCATATACATAAGTTAGAAATGTGAAGATAAAGGGGGATGGGGACGATGGTGAATATTTCACAGTGGGATTCCATTCTGCTTTTTAATACTTAACACAGCGCTTTTAGTTCAAATACTCCCAGTAATAGACTCTGCCTTGCTTTACCTATGACATTTCTCAGGTTTATGTGGTCTTTGTTAGTACAAGCTTTTGTAGCATACTGTTTATAATATACTTAACAGAATTTTCCTGTTATTCCCTTCCTCGATTTTGAACAGACTTGTGCCATATGATACTCAACACAGGATCTAAGTGCTGTTGATTTTCCTCTCTTGCATCTTCTTTAAACTACTTGAAAAATATGTGTTGCAAAAAGTCACTTGTCCATTATGTCACACCAGATAAACAATATGTGTTTATGATGTTGTGTATTTCCTTTTTATAAACCTACCAAAAACAAAAGGATGTGCGTGTGTTGTTACTGACTGCTGCAAATTATTTAGACAGGGGATGCACTTTTACAGAGTAAGACTGTTGCTGAATTGTTTTTATTTTATTCTCCCACAAAAAGCTTGCAACTGATTTACTGATTATAATTATAATTTGTCTTCATATAAAATGAGAGCTCTGCACAATGAGAACCTCAATGTGGAGGACAAAGGTCAAGCATTCCCAACATTAAATGGACAGTTCAGCCCAAAGTAAAAATACAAAGGCATAAATACCCAGTTTCATGTAGGAACTATTTTCTCTCTATCAAACTACACCCACCAATCCAATCATTGCACAGGAGGCTGCGTGCATCTACTGCTAGCTCTCCTGAGCTAGCTTACGTTACAATTCAGCTGAGGAGGACAGCATTAATATTTATATCTTGTGCTGTTACGAAAGCGAGTCTCTCGTCCATGAATAGATGCATCCCTCTATGTTTATCTGATTTTTGGGTGAACTATTCCTTAAAATTCCTCAAATCAGTCTCAGAAATCTGAAATGTCACCTCTCAAATTGCCAAAACTATTAAACAACATGTCATGGATTTGTGAAAATTACTCTGAAACCAGAAGCACATCTAAAATCCAACAACTCTCGAACGAAATACAACAAAAAAGTACTAAGAGGAACTTGTGTTGTCAGATTGTATGTGAAAGTCTGAACACTGCAAACAAATAGGTAATGTTCGTGTACAACCACACTATTAGCAGACAACTTTTCTGCATTCTCGGAATTTAAAAAAATTCAGTGTTCACCATCAACATGTCGGAGGACAACAAAAAGCTTGACACTAATTTTTAGGTTGGATGTGAGGTTAAAGTTCCAAAGAGAGCGCCCCTCTATCTCAGACTTAATCCCTTTCAACCTGGTTCAACATCTGTTTTCTTGTGGTGCATTCAGGTTCCTTTTGCAAGCATTTAAACATCAAAACTCACCAAAACCTAAAATAAATTGGTTTGATTTCTATAGAAAACATAGTGGAAAAGGCAATGAGCATTATTAGAAAAGTGTTATTAGAAAATTATCAAAAAAAAGAGGAAAATGTCAATTTCTAAATAAATATTTAAAATTAGGCTACATTACAGAAAATATATATTTTCAATATTATTCAATTTAATTTTTAGCAATTTTTGTAAGGTAATTTTTATGGGGTTTTTGGCTTTTTGCTTTTCTTTATTGCTTACTTCCGGGTAATTTTCTTATTTGTTTGGTTTTTTAATCTTTCTTCTTTGTCTATTTTTAGGTCATTTCTTGTTTTTTTTTTTGTTTGTTTGGCTTATTTCTGGGTAATTTCTTGTTGGCTTTCTTTTGTTTGTTTGGCTTATTTTCAGGCAATTTCTTGTTTCTTTTAATTTATTTTTTGTTTGGCTTATTTTTGGGTAATTTCTTGGTTACTACATTTACTTCTTAAAAGTTTTTATTATCTTGTCAATGTTTGAGCAATTTTTGTAAATTTCTCATTGCCTTCTTGCCATGTTTCTGAAAAATAAAATCAAGCCAATTCGCTCAGGTTTCAAAGGGTTAACTGTAAAACTAATCAGTACTGATCAAATATAAACCACATTTCTGATACTGCTTTGCCAAGTTCTCGCTTAAAATGTGTTAAGAAACATATTTTAATGTTTGGCTGTAGTGCAAGGGTGCCATATAGCTTCCTATGTCAATGCAGGCAGAAAATACCGGTATTATTTTACATCTACGGAAAATACTGAGTTCAAACTGTTAAACTAAGCAGTGCTGATCAAATATAAGCCAAATTTCTGTTACTATGTCGCCTATTCCTCGCCTAAAATGTTTTCACAAACATATTTTATCTTACCTTTTAGCTGTTAATTCTAAATCGCTTGTTTCCAGCCGGCTGCCATTTTGTTTCCTGTGTTGAAGAGGGAATGGTGCGGCGCAATGCATTCTGGTAGTTGTAGTTCTTCTACTTCTGCGCAAAAGAGCACCACAGCCCCTTTTACTCCGATTTCTCTGGTCATGAAGAGCCAGTTTCAAAAGTATTTGCATCTGTCTACTCCATAACTCAGGTTCATGAGAAGTCCAGCAGTTAAGTCCGTGTAAAGCAAATTCTGCTATTTTCTTCTAAACACATTAAATAGGTCATAAAAGTATTCCTCAAAATGTGTAAGAAAGCCTTTCAACCATTTACAATGGAACTGTGGAGCTAGGCTTCACAAACTGTGTTTCTAGGTTTCAATTTTCTGGATTTAGTGGGCGGGCCTTAAATCATAGCCGCGTTACGTAACGGAGCTATCCCTGATACAAACACGCCCTCTGAGGCTGTAGCAGTATAAATACAGTCGGCGCATTAGCTTCTGTGGTCTTCCCGCTCGCTCTCAAGTCTTGGATTGTATCAACTGAAGGTAGTTTGCAGCTAGCTAACAATTAATGTCTCCTCCACGTCACCCGTGCATCTTCCCTGGATGCCACAGTGTGCAGGGTAGCGGCTCCTTACTTTATTTAAGTTTCCTGCAGAGGAAATTGTAAGGAAACGGTGGATCGCATTTGTAAAGAGGAGCTCCAGTGGAGAGGTCAAGACCACGTCCAACACCCGCCTCTGTAGTGTCCACTTTACCGCCGATAGTTTCACTAACTATCACCAGGTAAAGTCTGGATTTCTGAAAAGTCCATTGACGCTGGTCAGTGGAGCCAACTGCGTCTGATGAGTCATTTCTACATCAGTACACTTTATACTGAAACCTGTTTTGCACAGTCCATGCAGTGTGTGTGTGCTCAATTTTTTGCAAGTTATCTCGTATTACATGGCATCCAGAGAGCTTCAGTCTCCTAAATTGTGGAGCATTTGCTTACAGGACCGAGACAGTTTAGGCCCTGACATGGCTGTTTATGGTGGGCTCTTTTTTATAGGATTGACAATTTAATTGAAGCAGAACACAAAAAACACTCTATTTTATTTAACATGTACAAATGGTAAGAATGCCTAATTGGCTGATTGGTTTTACTGGTTGAAACTCATTTAAAGGGACCCATCATGCTTTTCTTCATTTTCTGTAATATAATGTTGGATGTTCATATTGAATGTGGCTTAAGTTTCATATCATAAGGTAAACATGTAAAACTGATCCCTGAGAGCAAAAACCTCAGGCTGTAGACCATTCTGAATAATCTGTTTACCTGCCTCCTGCGAAATGCCGTGTACTGTGACACCTGCCATAGCGCTAGTCACTTAATGTTGATATTTTGTTTGAGTGAGTGGAGGGGGGCGTGGCTTAGAAATAAAATGGAAACACTAGCTGAAAAAAAAAAATCAATTGAAAAATAAAACTCAGGCATTAAAAATGATCCTTTTCTCCTTGTTTTTGCATTCTGATGTGTTTTTCAGTGACGGTCTTTGTTTTTTTTTTCTTGATGTCACTCTTTTTCAGTGTCAGCTGAAATATATAATATGTACTTCAATATATAGGCTAATATTTAATATATTGTGCTGTGCTTGGCCCTACCCTCAAACTACTTCCCTTCATATTGAAACAGTGATAGCAAGTGCTAGATTTTTTTTCAGTGTAAACATTTCCTTATTTAATGTCAAATTGTTTTATGTATATACAGTACAGGCCAAAAGTTTGGACACACCTTCTCATTCAATGCGTTTTCTTTATTTTCATGACTATTTACATTGTAGATTCTCACTGAAGGCATCAAAACTATGAATGAACACATGTGGAGTTATGTACTTAACAAAAAAAGGTGAAATAACTGAAAACATGTTTTATATTCTAGTTTCTTCAAAATAGCCACCCTTTGCTCTGATTACTGCTTTGCACACTCTTGGCATTCTCTCCATGAGCTTCAAGAGGTAGTCACCTGAAATGGTTTCCACTTCACAGGTGTGCCTTATCAGGGTTAATTAGTGGAATTTCTTGCTTTATCAATGGGGTTGGGACCATCAGTTGTGTTGTGCAGAAGTCAGGTTAATACACAGCCGACAGCCCTATTGGACAACTGTTAAAATTCATATTATGGCAAGAACCAATCAGCTAACTAAAGAAAAACGAGTGGCCATCATTACTTTAAGAAATGAAGGTCAGTCAGTCCGGAAAATTGCAAAAACTTTAAATGTGTCCCCAAGTGGAGTCGCAAAAACCATCAAGCGCTACAACGAAACTGGCACACATGAGGACCGACCCAGGAAAGGAAGACCAAGAGTCACCTCTGCTTCTGAGGATAAGTTCATCCGAGTCACCAGCCTCAGAAATCGCAAGTTAACAGCAGCTCAGATCAGAGACCAGATGAATGCCACACAGAGTTCTAGCAGCAGACCCATCTCTAGAACAACTGTTAAGAGGAGACTGCGCCAATCAGGCCTTCATGGTCAAATAGCTGCTAGGAAACCACTGCTAAGGAGAGGCAACAAGCAGAAGAGATTTGTTTGGGCCAAGAAACACAAGGAATGGACATTAGACCAGTGGAAATCTGTGCTTTGGTCTGATGAGTCCAAATTTGAGATCTTTGGTTCCAACCGCCGTGTCTTTGTGAGACGCAGAAAAGGTGAACGGATGGATTCCACATGCCTGGTTCCCACTGTGAAGCATGGAGGAGGAGGTGTGATGGTGTGGGGGTGTTTTGCTGGTGACACTGTTGGGGATTTATTCAAAATTGAAGGCACACTGAACCAGCATGGCTACCACAGCATCCTGCAGCGACATGCCATCCCATCCGGTTTGCGTTTAGTTGGACGATCATTTATTTTTCAACAGGACAATGACCCCAAACACACCTCCAGGCTGTGTAAGGGCTATTTGACCAAGAAGGAGAGTGATGGAGTGCTGCGGCAGATGACCTGGCCTCCACAGTCACCGGACCTGAACCCAATCGAGATGGTTTGGGGTGAGCTGGACCGCAGAGTGAAGGCAAAGGGGCCAACAAGTGCTAAACACCTCTGGGAACTCCTTCAAGACTGTTGGAAAACCATTTCAGGTGACTACCTCTTGAAGCTCATGGAGAGAATGCCAAGAGTGTGCAAAGCAGTAATCAGAGCAAAGGGTGGCTATTTTGAAGAAACTAGAATATAAAACATGTTTTCAGTTATTTCACCTTTTTTTGTTAAGTACATAACTCCACATGTGTTCGTTCATAGTTTTGATGCCTTCAGTGAGAATCTACAATGTAAATAGTCATGAAAATAAAGAAAACGCATTGAATGAGAAGGTGTGTCCAAACTTTTGGCCTGTACTGTATATTTTTTATTTATTTATCTGTTTTTCATTTTTGATGCCAAAACCTACCCAGCTGGCACACAACCGACCTGCAACATTAAAATGTGGTTGAAATTATGTCAGTAGTTGTTCCAACATTTAAATAACATTGAAACAATGCTTAATTCTGATGGTTGTAAAGGGGTTAACAACATTCTCACACATTGAAATTTCAGAAATATCTGTTTCAACATTGGAACAACATTTAAAGTTCATGAAACAACACTGCAAAATGCTGAAAAAAAAGCTGATTCATCTTTCAGAATCAAAACATAATTCGACAGTGACTCAGCCACAGTGTGACGTTGATCCAACAGTGAATAAACATTAGAATACCAGCTGGGTAGTGTCAGCGTTCTAGCTCCATAATACTCGAGATAACAATGGACTGTTCTGAAGAAAAAGGCAGAGACAAAACAATTCAGACGTTGGAGGTTTTAGTTCACTTCCATATAAAAAGCACACACACTGTACAGTAAGCAAACATTTAACTGCCAGCACATTTCAACTGGTGTTTCTTCACTGACATCTCAAAATAACAGTTCTCTGAAGCAAAAAGAGCTTCAGGCGACCGACGGTTACAAAGGAAGCAGTTCTTTTTTATATCCAGTCACACTGAGTCTCCTAACTGACCATCCAGTATATACACAGACTGTATAAATAAAAGTTGTACAAAGAATAAATTAGGGTGAAATCCTGTACAACTAAAGTGATCAGAGGAGCTTTTTGTTGAACGGACCGCAGACATGAGTTAAAGTGAGATGTACTGGGATCGCTTAAGTACATCACTATAAATAAAGAACAGGTAAAAAGTCGAGCTTCTGGGTGTTTCCATCCCTCCTTTGTTCATCCTGACACACTGCATATGGCTGCTATAATTCACAGGTTTCATAAATGCTATCATCACAAAGGGGCAGCACAGTTTTAGAGTAGGCGGGACACCCTGTAACTTTTTCAACTAAACTATGACAAAGTGCACTCGATAGGATAAATAAACTGACACACAACAATACTCTCACATTCACAACTCTGATCATAACCATGGGAGTGAAAGAATACCATGCTCCACGAACAACAGTAAGTATGACACCAAACCACTGGAAACTAATGTTTTACACTTGATAAAGGGGGTCTCACCAAAACTGGTTCTAATAACAGACTAATAACACACGTAACAAACATACCAACAGGATTTTATCTCACTGAAGTCTAGACAATACTCATCGTTTCTACTTTAATCTGACTGTTTCCTTCAACTTCTTCCCCTCCTTCACATTTTAAGTCGATTTAAAGCTGGGGTAGGCAGAAATCTGGAACAGGAAACAAATTGAAAATACACCCTCCTGCAGCTCCTCTTTCTCTGTCCTGAGACCCTTCCACCAGACGACCACAGGGACATGAACTAGGCCCCCGAGAAGTTTGCCAGACAATTTAGCATAGCCTGTATATTCCAATACCCATACTACCATACTATATAATATGCCAGAGAAAGATTTAATAGGTCCTAGCACATAATATGTCAAATGCAGTATGCCAAAAATACCAGGATGTTCTACTCAACTTGGTAAGTGGCGTTTCTTCTCTATAAAAGCAAGAGGGTCAACATTCAGGGCGTAATGTTAAGAGAAAGTACTATATCCCAATTGTGTGCATACTGCATGCAAGAGTATGTACTGTTTAAGGGCAGCTGCAGTATTCGATTCAGAATGCACCCATCGTAACTACAACGTCCTGGTCTGTCACGATGCTGTCGTGCCCAAAAGGACTTTTTCCCATAGACTTATATTGTGAAAGAGACATCTGTAAACCTTTGAGCATCACAACCACCTCCCAAAATGACTTGTTTCACCATCAGGATTTGATCCATTTGGTCTGATATTACTTCAAGAAGTTGAGAAGACCCATACAATTAAATAATTTAATTCCCATTCAAGTTAGCGGAGCGCTAAACCGGAAGTTAGTCACTCAGTTGACAAAGTCTCTTGTGCGTTTGCTCTATGGGTCCACTGATGTGGAAGATCTGGTCTTCATCTGCCACTGAACAACTTTCATAGGAATGAACGGGGCCCTGTCTCCAACACTGTATCCAATTTTGTTTTAGATCCATGGTATGCATGGGCTTCATATGGTGACCCAGTGTTTTCCCTACATTGAGGGGACAAGACGTAGCTGCTAGCCACCCCGTGGTCTCTCAGCCTTGCACCCCACAGGTGTGGACTGCTTCCTCGGAAAGAGAGTGGCAGCAGCTTGGGAGGTAGACCTTAAGTCGGTGGCTGCAGCAACTTGAATTCAGCCACTGCAAACTCGCCCAGCAGGCTGGTAGCCAGTGGCTAGCAGTGCTGGGTCTAACAGAGGGTCGGGGTTTGTGCTGGCTGGATTTGGGTTGCTGCAGCAGTTGACTGGGGGCCGTCTCTTAAGCTGCTGTCTGCTCTTCTCCCAGTAAGGTGGTCTGTGGCGGTGGGGAGTGAGGCGAGGGCCAGTACTTCCAGACTCTGGCTAACATTAACTACATAAATGTGCATATGAGCCTTTAGCTCCAGTTAGCAGAAGGCTAAACTGTTAGCAACATTTTCTCTCCATCTCTGAAACATTTCGCTGATACTGACACGAGTTTTATTTGGTTAATTGTCAGACTCTCTTTTAGACCCTCTTCTTGATAAGTCTGTCTTCCTGTTTTCTGGTTTCTTTGCAGTGTAGGCAATTGTTGACAACGCTTAATTTAACAGCAACTTTCTCTACAGGATTCTCTTTCACTGAATGGACGTGCACACACATCTGCATTTGTAGAACAGCCAACAGAAACGCCCTCTCTCTGAAAATGACCTGTGATTGGCTCAAGTCTCCCATCACAGGCCATTTTTTCCTAAATCCTGAAAACAGAGCCAAGAGGAGTTGCAGAAGTCCAGTTTTCTCTCAGACAACTTGAACAACAATATGATTGATTTTTGCCCATTGAAGATAAATCAAACTGCCTACCTCAGCTTTAACTGCTGAAATCAACATTAACACTTCCACCTAGATTGACTTCATTAGTCTGTTAAAGGAAACAGCAGGGGGCTCTGGTGTTTTATGCACTTGCTGTGAGGTGTTTTCTCAGCTTGTATTTTGAAGCCAGATCAAAACCGTCTAATTCAGCCAGCAACAAAAATAGCTCTTTTCCAGAAATACTTTCCTCCTATTTAGACAGGCCCGTACAAAGTTCTGTTCAAATGTGACAACAATTAAGACATCCCTTTTTTCCCTGCCGTTAAACACAATAATAATGTATTTAGTCTCGACTGATGGCTGTTGCCAACATTCATGTGAATGAAATTGTGGCTCTGGCTTTGCCAAGTCCTTATTAGCCTGTCATGCTAAACCCCTACCAATCAGACGGGAATGAATCGCTCCAGTGAGCTACTGATGACTATGGGAATTTCCGACGATGGGACATGTTTTAACAGTCACGTCCTGCCAGTACACACTGCTCCGCTCTGAACAGTGAGAACCTCAACTATCAGGTTTTTTTTAGGTCTTCAGTGCACTTAAATAAAAACTACACATGGAAACAAACCGTGAGCCCAAATGGAAAAATGGAACCCATGTGTCTTTGCTGTAATTATAAAGTCAAAAATGTTCCTCAACATCTCCGATTCATAAAGACAATCTCCAAAGCCACATGGAGAGCCCATTAAGCTGCCATACACAAAACATCTCTGGTTTAGTATAACACTGGAGCGTAGTGCATTATAAAAAACACAGCAAGTCAGAAAACTCCACTGGAAAGCATTTCTGTAACGACTGTGTCACACTCAGACATTCATGAGCCTCAGTTTATAGGAGCCAAACTCTGATTGGACGTGTAAGTGTATGAGTTTGATTACAGAATGTCCTCACATGTGTTTTATGTTAGACGCTCTGGAGGGATTACCAGAGAGTGGACCAAGCAATTAATCCCCCTCCACTGAGCACTTTCACTTCCTGGGGAGCAGCGCTGCAAGTCTCTGCTTCTTCATGGGAAGGAAATGGATCTCCTGTGAGCTGACCTTCTTCAGTTTGATAGCTCTGTTCTTGGGGACCTTTTTATGCGGGTTGTTGGGGTCGTGCTGCTCCCCGTGTGAGGCAGACGGCACTGCGTACAGCTGCTGCAGAGACGCCCCTTGGCTTCCGTCCCGTTTGATGGAAAAGTTCTTGGTGGAGACTCCTGAAAGGCCTTTAATCTTCCCGCAGAGGATAGCGGGGATGGCGTCCTTCACCGAGACGATGACCTTGGCCGTCTGCGAGGCGCTGACTATCTCGAGGTTTCCTGCTCCGCTCAGAGACGCCTGCTGAGAACTAGACCCACCAGCACTGCTGTCAACCACCCACTTGTGCTGACGGCTGAACTCCAGTGAAGCCAGACTGCCCAGGAGTTTGGAATCTAAACTCTGAGTGCATTCGACACCCAGAGACAAAGACGTGCTGCTACTATCTTGACCAGAGTGGAACGCTACTTCTCTGTCTGACTGAACACACTTTTTCCTCACAGCAGGCACTGACAGGTCAAGCACACTGTCCTGCTGCGGACTGGGGTATTCCTGTTTTAGTTCTACCGGACATGCTCTGACAGAAAGGTCCAGAGCCTGTCCTTCATCTAGAGGAAGTGAGGACGGGGAGACATTTTGTGGCTGGAATGATGGCATGCATCTGCGTGAAGACAGCATAGGAGAGGTAGTATCTTTTGCAGAAGTCTGAGTGCTTTTGCTCACAGTGCAAACTGGTTTTGGCATGTTCCCCTTTGAGTCCTCAGTCTGAGGGACAGGGATGGGGATGGGAAGAGGGATGGGCAGAGGCACTGGCAGGGGGATGATGACAGGGTAGGGAACTAGAAGTGTGGCAGGAGGGACTAGCGGGGCCAGAGGGGAGGTGTAGGGAGGTGTAAGGGGAGGCAGTGGGAAGAACGTGGAGCCCGGTGACTGGCAGGTGGATGAACCTGCCTGAGAAGGAAAGAGATCCTGCAAGATGGCCGCAAACGCTGGATTCTGCAGCAGAGAGAGCAGATTAGCCTCCTGCGTCTGTCCTGCTGTCTTCTGGTCGACGGCTGGAGGTAAACCAAACGTCAAAGGGTTCTGACACAAGACGTTGTTCTGGAGCGGCAGCTGAGGGCAGTTAGTGGTTTGAGGAATCACAGAGGGGCTCATGTGCTGGAGGACCTGCTGATCCAAGACCAGGGGAAGTGAAACTGGGCTTTGGCTTGTTATCAAGTACGGTGCTGCCCCCATTTGGCCGAGCTGAGACCCGGCTGCTCCAGCCATCTGGAGGTGGATGGGCAGCATCAGCGGGCTGTCTCCCAGGCACACTGGGTGTAGCACAGTCGTGGCGACTTTAAGCGCCACACCTCCCGGAGATTCAGCGTTGGGACTCACCACCGACGGTGCCGGAGGCTCCACCAGGTTAGACAACCCTCCTTTGCTCAGTCCTGTCGCGCTGCTGCCACAGGAATCAGCAGGAATGAGTGGATTGACTCCGTCCTCCACTTTACTGGGGGTTTCTCTTCCTCCCACCTCAGCGCTGCACACATCAGTCTGGGACTGTGTCATGTTTACAGACACATCGTCGCTGCCCTCCATTCTTCAGTTTGAGGAGCCAATCGAAATCTTCATCAAGCGCTAGTGGCAGGTCTCATCCATTTTTCTCCCAGGCAGCCCTGAAACACAGGAAGCAGGATGTTTAATGATGTGCAGTGGTTTCAAACATTTGATATAATGTGGAAAATCTTACACATGGACCCAAAACTGTACACAGTGTTGTTGAATTGTCTGGAATGTGAGCGATGCCATTTGAAGGACTAAGGTCTATGTTTTGTCTATTACAGCTCACAAAGGACGACTGTTAGGTATGTTTGTTATATTCAGCATCAGTGGGGGCGGCAGGGTGGTGCAGTGGTTAGCACTGTCGCCTCACTGCCTCAGGGTTCAAATCTGCTGGCCGGCTGGGGCCCTTCTGTGTGGAATTAGCATGTTCTCCCCGTGTCAGCATGGGTTTTCTCTGGCTTCCTCCCACAGTCCAAAGACATGCAGGTTAATTGGTGACTACAGTAAATTGCCCGTAGGTGTGAATGTGAGTGTGAATGGCTCTGTCTCCATCTATGTTTCAGCCTTCTGATAGTCTGGCCTCTGGCCCAGTATCAGCTGGGACAGACACCATATAAGGGGCTACGGATCATAAATGAATTATGATGACTTTTAGAAGTTTTACAGCAAAATATTCCATGAAATTAAGATTGAAACAGACGACAAAAAAAGCCCTCCAGTGATTCAGTGCTGCACTTCAAAGCAGCAGAGGCTGAGAAGATGTTCTCGGGTAAAGTTCACATCAGGTGTGAAAACCAACTGTACCCAAACATGGAAGTGCAGCTATTGAATGTAAGCAACAGCCAGCGAGTAGAGTTGCAATTATCCAGCTGGTCTCCTCTGAAATCTGCATATGTGTGCAGCACCCAATGATGTCATCCTCTAAACTACAAGGCCGTGGGTGATAAAGTTAGAAGGCAGGAGAGCGAGTCATTGTTGGCATCGTCTCCATAATATAAAGTTGACTCCATTGTTTGGGCCTGGGATCTTTTGACTGGTGCACTTTTCTACACTGTCGCAAAAATGTACGGATACGGTACGGAACAACAGTAATAATATGAAAGCTGTGCGGCGGCAGAGTGGAGAGGGGGAATAATTATACTTAAGCACAGTACTAAGCAGTTGTACCAAATATGAAAAAGGCCTGTACACATGCATTTTTTGTGCCCTCAAATCCATTGATTTCAATGTAGATGCACCAAAGATGAGCTCAATATTGAGAGTGATGCCATCATGACATGCAAGCGCTCCTAACACCTGTGTTTGATTCAATGTAAAATTGTCCATCGCACTCATTGGACCCAAGTTGGACTATTTAAAATGATACGGTCAGTTATGGTCACATAGCAACTTCAGATGCAACCTGCCTCCGTGCTCTTGAAAGTTGGCACAAAGTATGCACAAGAGTTGCACCCAGTGCCTCTTAAAAGCAGTTTAAGACATATAAAGGAATGTCTCCAAAAATGTAACACATAGCTCCAAAAAAAAAAAAAAAAAAAAAAATCCCTGCTTCCTACATTTCCCATAATCCAACTTTCCTTGCCTGGTGAACACTCACATCTTTGAAGCTTTACACTTCCAGTATGTAACACAGACTCTCTGTTACAAAATTATAATCTGCAAACCCCATCTGAGATAACCCCAATGACATCACTTTGACATCATCAAGGTCACGTTCTCAGGCCTGAAAGAGCTCCACCAGAGCAGCAGAGGAGATTCTACAACAGTTATCACAGACTGAGAAGATCTGCCGTGTAAATTGACACTGTGACGTAACATAACGTCCAACCACTCGGCCCAGTTTCTTCATTTTCACTCTGTGATAGAAGCTTATCACCTTACAACTCATCCCATAAATGATGACATAAATCATCACAAGTAACCAAGTAAGAGCCGAGCCGCTGTAATATAACACAGGAAATTGAGATTGAGAACATGACTGAGGCTGTTGTGTGTCCCAGAGCCCAGTTATCTTTAGCTGTTACTGTCATCAATAATTAAAAGGTAAACAAAAACTGGTCCAACGTGAAGGTAATGAAGGTGTGGTTGTTATGTGTCTGATGTAAGCACTTTCAACACCTGATTCAGATGCTACACAAATAAACTTAATTACCGTCGGTTACTGTCGGCTAACATAAATCTGGAGCCTATCCCAACTGTTGGGCGAGAGGCAGGGTATAACCTGGGCAGGTCCCCAGACTATAATGAGGCTGACACATAGAGAAAACAATTCACGCTCAGATTCACACCTACGGACAAGTCAGAGTCACCAATTAACCTGCATGTCTTTGGACTGTGGGAGGAGCTGGAGAAACCCCACGCTGACATGCAAACAGAGAGGAGGTCCAGCAATTGGCAGCATGGCGTTCCGCCAACAATCTGCAGCTGAACACCTCAAAAACAAAGGAGGTCATCATGGACTTCCGAAGGATCAGAGCTGACCACCCCCCTCTCTACATCAACGGGGACTGTGTAGGGAGGGTGGCATTGTCAGAGGAGCTCTCCTGGTCCATGAAGACCAAGACAGTGACGAATACGACCCAGCAGCGACTGCACTTTCTGAGAATTCTCAGGAGAAATAAACTAAATCAGGAGCTGCTGGTGACCTTTTATTGCTCCACGATCAAGAGCGTATTCACATACTGCGATTTACATTCTTTCATTTGCCAATCTTTGCGTGTTTGCCCTCCTCCACTTGCCTCTCTTAGTTTAGGTCTGGAGTTGAAGAGGTTAAGCCCGGGGTAATGAGCCAGCTGATGACGCTTTTAATTTCAAGACTAACTAAGAACTCCTGAGCTACAATATCTAAATTTTTACTGAAATAAAGTGTCTAGTTTTTAATTGATCCGTCTGTGTACCTCTCTGTCACCCCAGGGCAGCATCTCGGTTGTTATCGTGCCTTAATAAACCCACTGCGTGTTGGTTTTCCTCCTCACTACATGACACTTCCACACAACACATGTCCCGCCTGCGCTGGCTGTCAACCCTCATCCATCTGTAGTGATGAAACATCCCCTGGGTGGGTGCAGATACAATGCATCCGATGTCAGCCAGGTCAATTATTCATACTGATGGGAGCACCAGGGACGATGCTGTTCAGGTCTTAGGAAGGGGAACAATTTAAACAACCCTGAAATGCAACAACAAAGTGTCTCAAACCTTTTGAATTAACAACTCAATTAAGTGCACACATGCAGTTCCAATTTTCTAGCTAAAGCGTGACACTTTTTTTTTCTTCTTTGTGAACAGCCTTCATGTGGTGTTGGGTTGCCTGACTGAGCAGCGAGGAGGAGCGCTCTGTGCCCCCAAGCTGGCTTTATATTGTTCTGTAGCATAGACGAGACATTGTAACACGGCTCTGATGGATTACACGCAGGATTCTACAGCCAGACGGTCGGCCGATAACCTGGTCGCTGTTTCACGCATGTGAAAGGTCTGGGAAGTGTGTGCACCTCGGGAATACAAACACACGCTTTAACACACCCTATAAGACCCCAATAAAAGCTGTTGTGCATTTATAGCTCGAAGCTTCTGTGCTGGTTTACAAACAGTCCGGAGTCAGGGGGCATTTAAAGGGAAGATTCGCCACCTTTTACGTGGGTGTCTGATCAGTGTTGATGGGAGATGTAGTTAATTGAGACATAATTTCCTCAGTGCGTGCTACATCGACCGAGAAAGCTGACTTTGCAGCTACATTCAGCACCGTCATTTGACCTGACAGCGATGTAGTTGGAGGCAGGAAGAACCACAGTCTGGATTTCGCCTCCTGAAGCTGCACTCAACAGCAGAACTGCCCTGTTTTCTTTGCTTGTGCTGCAAACTAGCTATGTTTCCAACAGCAAAAATGGCATCCTTAAATGTTAGTACAGAGAGGGCAGCCTCTAGTTCAGCGAGTAGAGTGTCCGGCCCATGTAGGCTGAGCCCCTTGCAGCGGCCCGGGCTTGATGCCACCCTGCAGCCCTTTGCTGAATGTCATCCCCATTCTCTCTCTCCCTTTCCTGTCACCCTCTAGCTGCACTGTAAAGCCAAAAATAATATGATTAGTACAGAGGATGATGTGGACGAGGATACATTTTTACCTGCTAAAAAATGCTGTAGAAAGTGGCTGCATAAGAGGATATGTTCAGTGCCGACCCTTTACAGTCTGAGCAGCTGAGAGCTAACACCAGCTGGCAGTGCTCAAATTGGCATCTAACCAAAAACTTATTTAAAAACACCAACTTCGAGATGAGGAAACTGAAAGTGCTAAAATGCTAACTCATTTCCGGGTTTTAGGACTCCTGCTTCACTCTATAGACGAGTACGTCATGCATTCTGGTACATGTAGGCATTGCCAGCATGTCTCTGTACGCAGGAGAACTAATACAGCACCCACTGAGGACTGTATTGTTTCATTTACCATCAGCACTGACTGGAGATTCACATCAGAGTTGGTCAATTTTCCCATTCAGGGTTGTGATAAGCAGCCAGGTCATGGTTGTATATGTGCATGTAACAGACTTATGTACCACACATGCTGCTTTGTCCTCTTGGGAAGAGTCATTCCACAAATCATGGGATCGCAGGCCAAATGCACAAATTGATGACACGGGGATCCAATCAAAGGTATGGGCAGACATCTCTCGGGTGTGTTTTCAAAACGTATCTTTTTCTACAAGTTTTTGGCCTTTTGTCCAAACAATAACCTGCTAACAGGACTTTTTACATGTTAAGACTACGGCTATCAAAATAATGCATTCATTTCGACTAATGAATCACAGAAAAAATAACACAGTAAAGTGGCTTTGTGACATGATGGAGGCAGACGAGACTATGCTGGTTGGCCCCATGAACGAAACATTTACATTTAAAAAAACACCTACATGGAACTGTTGATAGGAGCACCGTCCTCTACAACTTCTGAGTAAAGAATTTTCTTACAATCAGAGAACTTCAAGCCTGAAATATCACCTCAACACAAAGCATTTAGCAGCGGTCCGAGCTACTAGCAGCTGGTCTCATCAAGCCACACTCGACCAGGCGTTCAAACTGAGTAAGTCTATCTGAGACTGACTAACTCCCTTGCAAAATGGAC